ATTTTTTTAAGTATGTAGAAAAGTTTTGAATTTTGTCTGACAATGCTATGAAAAATAATAAAAGGATTAGACTATTTAATTATGAACTTTGGGTGCATCCTATTTGAAGAAAGTTTGAACATATCAAAAAATGAAAGCAAAAATAAATAGGATCTGGTCATGCAGAAGAAAAAGGCAGCTCATCCGCCCAGGACCATCCCTTAAAGCCAGCTTCACAAGGACACCCATAGTGTACACAGTATGCAGGACTGTGATGCGGGTGTGGAGCCCCTGCTCTGAGAGTCAGGAGACTTGGACTGGGGTCTTGTTCTGACCAAACCTCACTGTGCCTGTGTAGACTTCTTACAGGCAATGAGCCTCAGCTCACTCCTCCATATACGAAGGGAATGGAGCTACAATGTCCCACTATGTCTTCATCTGCCTTCTCTCTTCTTGGACTCACCTCAGTAGCACCAGGGAGGTGCCTCTGACATGAGCTGTGCAGAGATGTCCTATCCCGAGGACACCCAACCTATTGAAGACATGACTGTGGTTGGTATTGTATGGCCGGGCTGGAAAGCAGTGTGTGTGATAACCCGAAGCTTGTCTTGCTCCAGGGATAAATTGCCTCATCCTAGCTCATTCCTCTCACTCATGTGGGAGTGAGAGCAATCCCCAGTGTCTACCAGCACAGGGACTGGGATGGTGCCTTGAAGGCAGGGAGAGGGCAGGCTTCATCGGCAGACTCAGGTACAGCTGGAATGAAGTATCTGTGAAGGATTCCCCAGAGGCCAGAGGCATAAGCAGCCCATTATAAACACACAATTGATAATGCAAATTAAGGCCAGTGGCAGGGGCCTCCAGGAAAAAGAGCACAGGACTATGAAGAAAGGGTGGCATAGAAAGGCCCTTAAAAACAAAATGGTATCCTGTGGAATGAGCATCCAGGACATTCCCTTTATTTTAAATTTTGGTTAAAAATACATAACATTTATTACTTTAATCATTTTAATGCACACGGTTCTGTAGTAGTGAGTACATTCACGCCATTGTGCAGCCATTGCCACCATCCATCTCCAGAATGTTTTCATCATCCTTAAATCATAACTCTCCATCCCTCCTTCTCTAGTCTCTGGAAACGTCTGTTCTACTTTCTACCTCTATGAACTTGGCCACGCTAGATATTTCCTGTAAGAGGGGGCATGTAATATTTCTCCCTTTGAGTCTGACTTACATCATTGAATATAATGTCCAAGTTTCATCCATGTTGTAGCAGGTGTCAGAGTTTCCTTCCTTTCAGTTTTTTAAAATGGAATAATCTACTGTATGTGTATATCTCACTTGGCGTGTCCCTTCATCCATCAGTGGACTTTTGGGCTGTTTCCACCCCTTGGCTATCATGAATGAGAAAGCTATGAGCACATGTATGCAAACAATAGTGAAAGTCACTGTTTTCAATAGACAGGACATTCTAAAAAGTCCTCCTGCAGAGAAAGGTCAAGGTAGATCTGGCTTCCCAACCTGAAGCTACTTCTAAGGGGCTGTGGAGATGTGCTTCCTTTCTGAGCCTTGTGATCGAACCCCTAATGAGAAACCAGGCTTAAATAGTAGGTGTAAATAGTAGGGAGAAGAATATGGCCATATTTTAGTTTGTTGGGGCTCCTCCCCTTTCAAACCAATGAAAGCTCATTTAATTTACTGCCCTATCACCCACAGGGAGGTGTGCTTTCCAAAGGGCAGCAAGTGTCTGCAAGTGGGTCTGCCCAGTGAAAACTTTAAAAAATCACTTAGAGTGAAATCCAGAAGCTTGTAGGAGGTCACATGACACCAAAGACAAAGGGCAAGCACCAACCAGCAGGTCACACACAGTCCAGTCTGTGAATGGAGGTCACTATGGGCCATGAGGATTTCACAGTGGGGATCAAGGGTCATACAATTGGTCATTGGAGATCAGAGCAAAACAGCAGTGGGGACTTTTGGAAGAGGAGAGACGGGGATGGGCTGAAAGTTTGCATCCACTGTAGTAGGGAATGAGGTCTGGCAAGAAGAATCCAGAACTCTGATTCTAGAGAATATTAGAAGGTCAATCTTGTGTCTCAATTTGCTCAGAATAATCCTAGTTTAGGCCTTGTGTTGTGGCATAATGACTTTCAAAAGTACAATATTGTTGGTGTGGAAGATAAATCATAGGATATGGTCAACCTAGCTACTAATTGGAGAGGTTAGCAACGCAGAGGACAGCATGAGGAATTAGGCCAAAAGTATACAACTAGGCCCATGTGGGCCAGAAAGGCAGGAAGCAGGCTTAAATAGAAGAGGATGGAGGGCCTGACTGAACAATGACCCCTGACCAGGGCATCCAGGGCCTTCTTCCCTAGGGTCAGAGTCAGCCCCAAAACCTGGGGCACACTTGGCCCTCACAATGGTGGCCATGGTAGGGTTGACAGGACTGGGAGAAAATACTGCTATCTGAAAGGACTGCATTCCTGTAAAGTGTTTTCTTCTGTTCAATGACATTACTAGAAACTTTTATCTCAGTACTGAAAGGATAGGAAGGTCAACTCATTTGGCCTCTCTGGGTGTCCAGCATGGGACTCAGGCCCAGCCCCTTCTGACACCATCCCCCTTAGAACCACACAAAGCCTGAGACTTGTTTATTTGTTTGTTTTTGCAAGAACAAAATGTTCCACACGAGAACACCTAGGTTTCTAAATCTGTGGGGTTTTTTTCACCGTGCAGTTCAGCCCTGTTGGCAGAGTAACAAGGCCCAGACAGGTGAAAATCTTGCCTACCACTCAGGTGAAAGCCTCTTTTCCCCTTCAATGGCAAAAATCCTTAACAAACTAGTAACAAATACAATTCAACAATGCAAATAAAATTAAATCACAAGTTTATTATGGTGCATATAATTTGAAATCTGTGCATTTCTTTTATAATATGCATTTTCTATATTTTTTGAAGACACCTCATATATAGAAAAAATATACACCATGACCAAGTGTCATTTATTATTCCAGGATACAAGGCTAATTTAATATTGAAAACTCAATCCATGAAATCCACCGTATTAATGGAAAAAAAATTACATGATCTGATCACTGGATGCAGAAAAAGAATTGGACAGGATAGGACCACCATTTATAATACAAACTCGCAGAAAACTAGTAGTAGTGGGGAACTTCCTTAACTTGATAAAGAGTGAAGGAAAAAAAAAAAAAAAACTTTTACAGCTAACCTCATACTTCATGACAAAAGGCTGAACACTTTTCTTCTAACATTGTGAATGAGGCAAGGATTGCTGCTCAACATCATCTGGAAGTTCTGGCCAGTGTAATAAGACAAGAAAAAGAAATACAAAGCATACATTCTTCCACCTCAGAATTGGTCACAATGTGTTTTTCTAGCCCCAATAATTGCACTGGCCCAGTATCCAGGGACTTGCCAACACCTTTATCTGGGAACTACCAAACAAGGATATAAGACAGTGGAAAGTTCATGAAGATAAAGCCAGGTTGTTGGGTCCAGGCTGTGCTCTGCCACCTAACAACTACATGACTGTGCAAGACATTGACCTCAGCATTCCTCAATAATTTCCTCTGCAAAGTGGTCTAAAACTGTACCTGCATTATAGGGTCTTTATGAGGTTTTAAAGAATTAACATCCACAGAGCATCTAGAGCACTGCTCTGTCATATGCTAAGGACCATGCAAGGATTAGCTATTACTATAAACTTTAGTTGTTATTCAGGGTTTCTTTTACAGTAAGAAAGATTAGAAGTCCATGGTCTCAAGTTAAGCCATGGAAAGTCGAGAGTTATTCCTCATATCCCAGATTGGCCTTTTTTTTTTTTTTTTTTTTTTTTTTTTTTAAGAGAGAGAGGTTTTTTGCTATAGAGCATGTGGGTTTGCCAGAGAGAAAGAAAGCAAGAATCACCCCCCACCCCCACCCCCCAGTGAGGATGGTCATGCCTCAATCCCTTCTCTCATTCCTCTTGGGATTTGAGGCATTCATGCATACAAGACCAGCATGAGTTTTAAACCACCAGGTCCAGGACTCAAACCACAGTCAACTATGTGGGAGTTCAGTGACATAACCATTACGCCAACTGCTGATCCTTCCAGGCTGTGGCTTCTTATAGAGATTGTGCCTTAATGCCATATAGTCATTGTGGTGGACAGTCTTGTTCAATCACACAGTTTCCAGAAAAGTGAAACTAGAAGGTGACCTCCTCTTACTTTGGTCCATCTTTGTAGCTTGGGCCCTAATCTGGGGTAATATTCCCAGTCCTTGGTCCACTTTCCTACTACCCACCAAACAGGGTTTTCCTTCTGGTCTCAGATGCCTTTATCTTCCTCCTGGCCCTCTCCTACCGCTTCTTCCCACATGCCTGTCATCTTGACTTTTCCACATTGCCCCCTCCCCCCTAACTGACGTGGACCCCTGTGAAACTCCAGGCAATTAATCTAACTCAGCAGAGCTTTTGGAAACCTCTATGAAACAGGCCAGGAGCTCATGTTTCTCTCACATACCATTTAAGTGGAACCTACAGAGATCCATGTTGGGCCAAGTAGCAAAAAAAACCTCCTTTTATTATTTTATTTAAGGAAGAAATTAAAAAATTCAGCTCACATGGATTGGAATAAAAACACTTTCTACCCTTAAACTTTTCTCCATGTTTATGGCCCACTATAAATTTTTTTCAAAAAGGCAACCAATGTAGTAAAAAACCCCACAACAAAGCTGGAACAGATATGCAAGCCTAGGCAGAGGCCAGATTTATGGTCAGAAATATGGAGTGTGTCTCAGCAGGGGCAGGTCATGAAATAGCATGAGCTAATATCAGGGGTGTGAAAACAGGCATTGTTGTTTGGTTAACTAAAGTCACACAATTAAGCGATTCTCAAAAATCAATTAGCCGAATGTTATAACCAAGATGACATGTTTTTATAACTTCTCCCTGGATGTTTTATTGCCAGAGGATGCTCATGTGGGCACTCGAACAAGAAAATAAAACACCAGCCCAAGAGTAAAAGTGTAAAACTCCGGCCATGATTAATTAAAAGAGCCCAATCTGGAAATGATGGAGTCTCTGAGCAGGCAGCACGTGTTGAAATGATTCCTTCCCGGTGCCCCCAGTCTGTTACACAAATGCCAGAGGTCATTTTTTTCTTTCTCTTTGTTTTCTCGTTCTTTTTAATTTAGCACAGATACAGCTGTGAAAACTGGATATTCCATTTGAACTCCGTCTTTATGCTTCTAGCTGACGGTTCCAAGGCAACGTCATTTTAAAAGCTTTCTGTAGAAAATGAAAAACTTATTTCTCAGAGGGAAGCCTGGTGGCGTGCTTTTGTGAATAGGAAGCTGTGTCCTGACTTCCACCAAGGGAGCGGAAAGCAAGGAGCTGAACTGTGCTCCGCTGGCATTGCTTGTAAGCCGGGTAAGGAACAGAAAAGCGAAGAAGACTTCCAGAGCCTGAAATCTAGACAAGGCAGTAGGGCCCAGCTTTTAAATAGCTATAAATTCTTCCCCTTCCTGTACTTACCATCAAGAGGTGGAACTTCTGTTCCCAACCCTTGGACCTTGGCTGGTCTCACGTTTAGCCAACGGAACAGGGCACAGGTGAAATTCGTGCCAGACCTGTTCCAGGCCCTGGGCACGCTACCAAAGGTTCCACTCTCGTGTCTGGAATTCTGCTGCAGCTGCTGTGTGCACCAGGCCAGGTCTCCTGCTGGGTTATGAGAAGCTGTGGCCCAGTCTCTCTAATTCCTCATCCAACCTGCAGACAAATAAAACCTAACAATTAAACATGCACACGTGTCCACTTATCCAGGTGGAACTCATTCAGCTTCCTGCGGTACATAAAATGTAGAGCTGATAAAGAGCCATCAGTCACTTCCTGCTTTCTGGGAGCACATAGGTCATCTCTCACCACCACAGGATTCTCCAGGGTCTCTGCTGACATGTGCGGACACAGGACCATTTGGAGACCTGGCTACTACTGAGAGTGTTCTGACTTCAGAGCACTCTAACACCACCCGGCTGGAGGGGCGCTCGCTCCAGGAATCTGGAGTCTGACTGTGCTTGTCATGAAATATCTACCAGGAGCTGTTGGGGAGCAGGGGCAGGAGAAGGCAGGTCAGAACCTTCCTGGTTCACCCCGGAGTGAGGAGCAGGAAAGAGATACCGACTGTCCGTGCACTGGTGCCTTGAATTATCCTGACTATCCCCTCAAACCTGGGTTTTCTTGTGATGGTGCCATGGTAGCCCCTGGGAATTCTGCAAGCATGACTGCTGCGTGTTCATTGCAGACACACACGTGCTGCCACATCCACGGCACTTGGGTGCTCCAGACTGCGTTGGGGTTCTTCTGTGAGAAACTGTCAACCAGGAAATGAAAGAGAAAACCCTAGATCGTGGCACCGAGGAAAGCAGCATAATGTGTCCCCGAGGGTGCAGAGCAGAGAGAGGGCTGCTTGGGCGAGAATGAGAAGAGCCGAGCAGGGTTCCCAGCAGCCCTCCCTGCCTGAGTTCCTGGCTCTGTGCATTTCTGCTAGTGATGAGATCTCCAGAAAGGCTGATGGCCCTGCCCTGTTCAGCCCTTGGACACTGCTGAAGTCCCCCAAGAAGAGATCAAAATGTGGAAGCACCAGGACCAAAGGGTGAGCCAAAGGCATGTGGTCTTTTCAAGGAATTGCTGCCTCTAACCACAGGGTCCTGGTGGCTAGTTAGGGAGCAGGGAGGTTAATAATGGCAGCTGAGCTCCCCCAGCTACAGAGCAGGGCAGTGCTGCAGGGGTAGCTACTCCTGGGCCTTCTCTGGCTGAGCAATGGAAGGAGACCCCCTCAAAACTCGGGCTCACATAGTCTCCAGACTCCCTTTTATACCCTTAGTCCTTTCTACTAAGGAGCCAAGGGGTCAGGAAACAAACTTTCACCTGCACCCATCCGGGCCTACTTCTCCCATGTATGCAATGGGACCTGCCATCCATCTCCTCACTTACTTTAAGAACCCCAAAGTCACATTTTATTTTCTGCTTTGCAGTGAAGGAAACAGGTCGGGATCCCCGGAGCCCCCACACCTCTCCATAAGGGCTCCCTGTGGTAACCACTGTTCCGCCCCCATAGAGGAAGTGTGCTTGTTTCTCAGGTCGACGCTACTTCCGCACCTTACACATGTCATACACGGTCTGTCAGTGAGAGCCGGCTGTGAGGACGCAGGGATACCGTACTCTGCTCCATTGCAGAGGTCCACTTCAGTGCATGGACACACCATTTGCTTATCCACTCTCTTGCTCTTGGACATTTGATTTCCTCCAATCTTTGGCCACAGTAGCTGCCCCTTATTCCAATTTTTGCTCTTTATGGTTTCAGTTATCCACAGACAACTGCTGTCCAAACATAAGTAAAATATAGTAGACATGCTGAGAGGGAGAGAGAGAAATGAGACAACTTTCTCATGACATCAGTATGCATATTATTGTAATTGTCCTATTTTGATACTGTTGCACAGTGATCTCTTATTATGCCTAACTGATAAATTAAATTTTATCATAGGTAGGTATGTATAGGTAAAAACCGTATATACAGGCTTCGATGCTATCCAAGGTTTCAGGCATCTACCGGGGGTTTTGACAGGTATCCCTGGCAGATCAGGAGAATCACAGTACTATCAGTGAAGTTGCCAGGAACCTATCTGGTGGACACATTCTCCTCTCTGTTGGGGACACAACCAGGAGTGGAGCTTCTGGGCCGTGATGAATATGCATGTTCAACTCTAGGAGATAATTGCACTTCCCACATGGACATCCCAGCCCACATTCTCGACTACAGTGGGTGAGTTTGAGTCACTTGCATCCTCTCCAGCACTTACTACCATCAGTTCTTTCGATTTCATTCCCCTGGCAGGGGTGTAGCGGTATCTCCCCTTATGTTTTTCATTTTTATTTCCCTACTGAACTATATAAAGCCAGCTTTTTATTTGGGGCCTATTGTATTTCAAACTCAGTTCTTCTCACTGTTTCATTTTGTTCCTGGACAAATGTACGGGCTAAGCCTGACTGCTCTCCACACAGTAAGCCAATTTCTGAGACAACGAGCGGGGCTTTATTGATGAAGATGTCAATCAGGAGAGCAGTCGGGAGTACCGTCTCCCCAACCGAGGGACAAGTGGGGCTTTTACAGGCAGGGCAGAAATATGACAAAGTGAGGGTCTTGGGGTAGGAATCCAGGACTCTCCAGAAAAGTTTCTATGATGTCATTTTTGATGGATGGTGCTGTTTTCTTGGTGCCGGGCCGTCTCAAGGAGGGTCTAGAGTGAGATGCTGTTGGGTTTGTACTGGGTAAAGAACTCGAAACAAAGAACTTTTAGGACAGCTGGATCTCTTCAATCTTCAACTACATGCTACTTGTGACTGTATCTTGCAGAGGTTAAACACTTAAGGTATCACCGTGTGTTCCCCCAGGGGACCATAATCACATTACACAGGAAGTTTCAATTAGTGGGGAGACAGAGCATGAGTTTATTTATTGTTTTAAGTAAATTACCTGGGACTCTAGGACATTTTTTTAGCCTAGTAAATAATGTATCTAAGACTAAAAAAGACAACTTATTTTCACTTTGCAGAACCAATATCAGTATCAATTTCATAAGATTACAGCAATGATTTGGCCACCTGCCCTCAGGGTGAACCTCCTCAGCACAGCTCACCTTAGGCAGCCTCATAGGCCGGCCACTGAAACCGCGGCTACTGGGATTGGGCCCTTAGTTTCCCTTTCTGTTGAGGAAAAAAAAAAGGGGGGAATTTCCCAGATTGAACATTAATAAGAGCTGATGTAAAAGTACCTTTCTTAGCTGTTTAGAATGCAAAGTTCTTTCACATTCTACTGGCCCAGGTACGATGTGGACACCACGCCTTCTCCTGCAATGCTCCCAAAACTCCTAATATAAAGTTGTCTGTTTTATTTTAGTAAACCAACATGAATTCCTCCCAAAGACTGTGTAGTCACCTCTTTTCTTACCTGCCCTCCCTTTGTTAGAGAAATTAATTTCTTAGTTGTAGGAATTAGGAATAGTTGAGATGATGGTAAAACCAAAACCTCCCACTTAAAGGAAAAGATAAGGTTATAATTCAAATTTTAGTAAGTTTTGAAGGATGGAGATTGCTGAATATGAGCATATAGACTCCCTCACACACACAATGAATGGCCATAGACCATATAGAAATTACAATTACCAGGACCAGCAGATGGCAAAATGGTTATGTCACTGGACTCCTATGTAATCAACTGCAGTTCAAGTTATGGCCCGGTGGCTTGACACTCACACTGGGAGTGTGAACATATATGCCCAGGATCCCAAAAGGAGACTGGAGGAGAAGGGATTGTGATGTGGCCTTCTCCCCTGGGAGGTGATTTCTCGCTTTCTGTCTCTGTCTCTTCAACTAGTGAACCAGCTCTATAGCGAAAATCTCTCTTAAAAAAAAAGAAAGAAAGAAAGAAAAAGAAATTGCAATCACCTCCTCCTAGAATGGAAATTAAGGTTAACTATGGCCCCACCAATCAAAAACACTCATTAGAAGATCATGGCACCTTGAACCAAACACCAAGCTGATTGTGCCCCTGACACCCTTACCTTTAATTTTACCCTTAGAAATGCATGCATGGAACTCTAGGGGGAGGCCAGGCCTCTTTAGCATTAGCTGTCAGCTCTAGTGACTAGTGCCAACCTACAAAGATGGCTGAGGCACAATACGTGAAATAAAAATGGTTTATTGAAGCCGGGGCATAGGAAAAACCACCTGGATAAGCATATTTCTATTTAGTTTCCCAGACATGTGCTTGTCAAAATAGCAACTGAGAAAGCTAGTTCATATGTAAGAAAAGGGCAAGAAAAGGGGAGGTTAGGAGTTGCTAGTCATGAACTTACACTGACTCATTTAGAACAATGCAGGCCACTGATTGCCTGTACCTCATTCCAAACATTGCGCACTCCAGAGCACTAGGAAGAAGAAGGGTGGCGGTCACATGGGAAAATCTATAATCCTCTCGCAGCATCGCAGCTTGTTTACTGTAAATTGAAACATGCCTTTTTGGGCAATAACCCTGAGGGTTGTTGGGCGTAACTAAAGTCTCAGACGTGTGCTTTATTGAAGCTTTTAAAAATAAACAGGCCTATATTCCATAGACTGCTCTGGACTGCTTTTAATTGAACAATGGTTAATTGCCAATCACAGTACCAGGAGCAAAGGAGCCCAACCCAAGCAAGGTGTGTGACAGCATTCCAAAAGCAGGCTGCCTGGAGAGGGTTGGAGCCTGTGGGCCAGCATGGATGAGGAAGGCTAGAAAGGCTCTCCTCAAGAAAGAGCCCCAGGACAGGAATGAGTATCATGAGTAAGAGAGGGAGTGGGGGTTGGCTTTGGTGAACCAAACACTTCCCATTGCTTTCCTCATCTGCCATTAAAATAGCCTTGGTTTCTAAAGAGAAATAAATTCCTCTTCCTCCTGGCTAAAATAGAAGCCATGAAATTTGCCCTTAGGTCTCTGTAAGAGTGTGCTTGGGGACTTTTCAATACAGTGAGATAGGTGAGCAGTAGGTCGGGCTGTGGGCAAGACCACCAGAAGGAAGACTCAGAGGTAGAGGGGCTGGGTGGCTGCACTTCCACCTGCCAGGATGGAAATTTCGCTGGGACTCACAGTCTATCACAGATGTCTTCCGACAAGGTGGGGGACGTGGTGGGGTGGGGTTCAGAGCAGGATCAAATTCTCTGTCCAGAATGTTCCAGAGGAGAAACTGTCCCAGACAGACTGACAGCCTGGATGCATGTATTTTTTTTATCCTTTGAAAAATGTGAGTTTGGGTCAGCAGGTGGCGTGGTGGTTAGGGTGTTAGACTCCCACATGGCCAACATCATTCAAGTCCTAGACTTGGTGGCTTGCTTTTTCACTTTCCTTCTCTCTTTCTCTCTAGTGAGTACACATATCCTATAACACAATTTAATATAATCGCAATACTAATAATAAATAAATAAATGTTTTAATGTTTAGTAAATTGGTAGAGAACTTAACTGCTTTGTTGTTTTTCTCAGTTTCCTGAGTTTCTATAACGAAGCCCACTGCAGCCCACATCACTGTGTCCAGGAGAGTAAGGGTGGGACAAACTCAAAACGTGAGATTTGTGGAGAAAAAAATCTGAACTCTAAGCTCTCCAGAAGAAATGTGGAATATAAGTCATTCTGTAGCCTTTCCTCCTTACACCATACCTGGCACATACCTGTAAAAACACAGTAAGAAGTGTTTTGAAAAAGAGAGAGAGAGAAAGAACATGAATAAATAAGGGTTAAAGAATCCTCTAAGGAACTCCAAGATCTTGAATGGGCACTGCCTCTCATTAGCTATGTGCCCATTAGCCATGTGCCCATTAGCCAAGTGCCCATTAGCGTGTGCCCATTAGCCGTGTGCCCTTTAGCCGCATACCCATTAGCCATGTGCCCATTAGCCACATGCCCATTAGCGTGTGCCCATTAGCCACGTGCCCATTAGCCACGTGCCCATTAGCCACATGCCCATTAGCCACATGCCCATTAGCCATATGCCCATTAGCTGTGTGCCTCTCAGCAGTGTACCTTCTGTTCTGCCCCAATCCTGCACTCGCCCCAGTACACACATCTTTACAATGACACATGCACCTCTCTCAACGGCAATCTCATTTCAATAACCCTGCTTTAGAATGTCCCATGGCTCCCAGTGGCAAATTTAAATCTTTATCGTGGCAGACAAGCCCTCCAAATTCTAGGCCCAGCCTACCTGTCCCATCCCTGCCCACTACTCCATCCTCTCAGCAGCCTCATACCCTATACCTCTGCCTTTCCAGGAGTGGAAAGGTTTTTTCTTTCATGCCTCAATGCAGTTGTGCCTCCTGTTCTCTGCTGAGAACATTTCCCCCTCCTTTCCAGTCTGGCGAAGTCCTCCGGAGGTCCCTGCCCTCATCAACGGTCCAACACAGCGGCCGGCCGTGGGTGGCTCTCCCCACCTCCTGGCAGGATTACTTCCTTACTGGCCTTTCCCACTGAACTCTAAGCTCTCTAGAAGAAATGTGGAATATGAGTCATTCTGAAGCCTTTCCTCTTTACACCATTGGTGTCTGGCACTTAATAAGGGCGTAGAAAGCTCATTGAAGATGCTAAGTATTTTCCTTTCAAAAGAATCAGAAAAACAAAAACAAACAAAAAAAGGGATATATTCTGTCCTCTCCATCCCCCATGCCCATCTCCCTTTGCTTTTCTGGGCAGTCAGGGATGCTGGGCCAGCACATCTGAGGAAACAGCCTTGAGCACATTCCATCAATTCATCCATTTATCCCTAACTGCATCTGGGTGGGGCTTGGCAGGGCTTTAATTGGATGCATGCGCTCCCCACAGAATGCATCTGGGACCTCTTTTTCTGCAGCCTTGCTGTTACCCTGGATCTCACTGCTCCTCATTCTGAAGACACGTGAGCCCCGTGTGCACACAGGCACATGGAGTCATTAATCACTCCCACCACCTGATTAAAGGAAGTCTCCAGACCAAGGGAGAAAAGAAAAAGAGAAAAAAAAACCCTATGCTATAAAAAAGACTTTGAATTATAGAGTCCCTCTGCACCAATACTTCCAAATAGGCAATTTATTGCAAACAACCAAAATCTCATTCTCAGGCCATTAACTAAAATAGGAAAATATCATCTTAAATTCTAAAAATAACAAAGGACATATTGTAATAAGTTGTTGGTTCTGGACAAGTAGATAGGCGCTTAGCATGATGGAAACCTCAAGAACGTGGATACAACTTTCCCCCCTAAAAATCCTCAGACTGGGAGGCCCCTATCTCCAGTAGGACTGTAGTGTTCTTAACCATCGCTTCAATCCTTAATCTTTCAGATTTCACAACTGCAATACCACCCAGTAATCAGAGGATCAAGCGTGAGTCTGGGGCGTGGGGTAGGGATCAACAAGTTTTTATTTCTTCCATGACCAAGAGAAAAGGAGGAAGAGAGAGCCCAGGAAGGTCTGGATGCCACTATCCACCCCAGCTTCAGCCAGCCTGGGATCACATGCACCCGTGGGCCCCATGTCCTTGGAGAGGCCTGCAGAAGAGAACCTGGAGCCCTACCATGTGAGTCAGGCTATAACCATGCAGCTCCCCAGCTGCACCACCAAGCCAGCCCCACAAAACCTTTTTTTATTTAAATTCAAGAAGTAAGTGGACTTTCTATTCAGAAGGGGTGCTTGTGGCTCCTTTGATGGTGGTCACTGTTGCCTACCTGATTTGTTCTGGAGAAGACTGGAGTCACAGAGGGGCTGCAGAGTCTTAACCCCTATTAGGCTGGCTAGAGAGGTTCTGTCCCCATTCCTGAAACTCTCTCTTCAAGACCAATGACCAGTCTTCAGTGTGATTCAGAAGCTTCTCAGCTCCTCATCAACTTTAGTCTATCCCCTGCTGGGCCCTAGAGCTCTCAGCCCAGAGAGACATGGGGCATGTGGGTATGGATAGTGGCACCCAGGGGCCACCACATCAGGAGAGCATAGTGACCTGGCCTAGAGTTGACAGGAACCAGCACCCTGCAGCACAGGCTCAGAATGCACCTGAGAGTCCCAGAGTCCCAGGAAGGCCTGAGTGTCTCTACCCATCCTCGTGTGAGGAGCCTCCCTGGGGATTAGGGGACCCAGTGCCAGCCACCATGGGCTCAGGGGGCTGAGGACCACCCTAAGCAAGACCTCTGATAGCTGCAACCTGATTCCCTTGACCTCCCCACTCCAACCCACTTCACAAATGTTCCGTCCACTCTTTTGAGGACTCGCCAGGGACATAGCCTATACTGTGAGGGCCTCAGTCACCTTCTCAGGGTGCCTCACTATTAGACTCCCAGGCCTCCTTCCCATCTATAACCCCTACCTTCAGCCCAGGAGGGCGGGGGGGTTAACAAACTTGGGAAATGTGTTCAGGAAAGAAATGACCAAATGTATTGGCCCTGAGGAAGAAGAGGAGAGTGTTCTATATGGAACCCTTGGGACAGTTCTTCTCACTAGACGTGGCTATAGGCACATAGCGGGATCAGTATGTGGCTGTAGTTTTTGGAGACATTGGTTCAGAAGTTTTCCTCTCATGGTCATGGGGAAAACCTTCTCTGGAAAGAAAATAATTTGAAAGCGAAGATTATTTTATGACTCTTCTCCCTTGCCCAAGGTGCAGAAGATGGAGTGAATCCCTGGTTCTCCCTTTTCCCTCCAGGTTCAACTAAATCCTGAGCTTCTTGGTCAGACCTGTTCCTTCACCCAGTTAGCACACTCAGAGTTGAGCTGACACAGGGCCGAGGCTGGACTGCGGGCTCAGAACGGCGGATCTACAGATCTGCTCTCCTTTCTGAAAAGGACACAGAGGTGGAGGGACAGCAGAATTTCCGGAACACACTGTGCTTCCCAACTTGGATTCTACTGGGACCCCTCTCTGGTTCATTTCTACCCAGAGTCCCCTATGACATACATTTCCATCAGAGTTCTTTCTGAACCTAAACCCAGTCACACCAGGCCCAGTTTAATGACAATTCATCATCTTCACAATCCAACCTAAACGCCATGTCCTTTCAGGACTGGAGATACAGCTCCGAGGACCTCTCTGACCTCACCTCCCCAAGATCCTTGCCTGTAGTGCACACCAGCCACACCAGACACTGCAGGCTCTGCCTCCTGGCAGTCTTGTGAAGAAGCCTCCCGGTACCCCATGGGCCAGGCTCAGTGCTAAGGAAAGCCAGGCTGAAAGATGAGGAGCCCTGCATTTGTGAGCATGGGTAGCCAGAACGAAGCACCATAGACAGGACCTCGAACAGCAGAAATGCATTGCCTCATGGTCCTGGAGGCCGGAAGGCTGAGATCAAGGTGTCGACTGGGTTGGTTCCCCCAGGCCCATCTCCATAGTGTGCAAATGGCCATGTTCTCTCTTGTCCTCACACAATCTTCCCTCTGTGTGCAGTCTGACCTAATCTGGTCAAACTGGATTAGCACCCACTCTAGTGGCCTCATTTTAACACAATCAGCTCTTTACAGATCAAATATCATCACATTCTGAGGTCCTATGGACTGGGACTTCAACAGAGGAATTGTTGAGGGCATGATTCAGCCAAAAACCACTCCCTAACATGATGGCAGTCAACAAGTCTGATTTGGGGGAAACCAAAACTAATAACCTGGTCAGTTTGCTCAACAAAACCATAAACCATAAACCTTGGAGTGCAAGCAACAGTTTCTTCCTTCATATCTGTATCCTTCAGGCATAAAGTAGAATGTGAACTTAGAGGGAAACTTCTGGAAGGAGTGTGCAATGTCACATGAGACAGTGTGCAAATCCTCTATCGTCTTCCAGATTAACTGATTTTAGTGTATGCACATTGCCTTCAACTCCAAAGACAGGAGTGTGTTACTTTCTAAAAAAGGTGCTGCCTGCACTGTTTATTTCGTTGATTGCAATCACACCCTGAGAAATACGCCCCAGAGCTAACTGATACGGAAGCTGAGTGCAGAGAGGAGCACTTACCCAAAGTGCACCCAACAGAAGTGGCCGGGGTCCCTGGCTGGGCCTGGGCCCACAAGCCTCTTATCTGGCTGAGCTCTGAGCACTGCTAAGCACCTTTGGCACAGGCCCTAGGTGCCATGTTCTGTGCCAGACCTCTAGTCCCAGAGCTGTCTAACCAGGACCCACAGAGAAACCGGGATGGGGGACAAAGCCCTCAAGGTTTAACACTCCCAGGCAGCTACCTTGGCAAGGTTCCTACAGCTTACAGGAGGACTGTGGCTTCTCAAAGCACCGAACATTACACCATCATGGGCAGTCACCCGTACAAATGCCCACGTACATGCCGTCAATGAAAACCTGGTCACGGGTACATCAATATCCTCAAACCCAGCTGTGCCACACACACATCACTCAGATACTCTCAAACCATTCCCAGCCCATAGCCCTCACCCAAGAGTCTCGGCTTGACCCACCTCTGGGCTCCCAGCAGTATTCTCAGCCTCCCCTTTCAGACGCTTGCCTCAGTCAGTCTGAGCCCTGTGTCTCAGGCACGATGTGGGCATCAACCTCCTATCCCAAACACGGCAGCAGAGGGGCCAGAACACAAAAACAGTCACTGACACAAAGATGGCCTTATCACCCATACCTTCCAGTGAAATAGCAAACATGGACAAGGGGTTGAACTTTAATTCAGCCCTTCTGCCAGAAGAGACAGAGTGATAAATGG